AGCATAATGTCCTCCAGGGTCACCCATTTTGAATAATATTGCATGAGTTCCTTGTTTTTCAATGCAGCATAGTATTCCATTGTGTGAATATACCACAGCTCTCTATCCATTCATTTGTTGATGGGCACTTAGGTTGTTTCCAACTCCTTGCTATTGTGAACAAAGCAATATCATTAATGTCACATGTAAATGAAATACTGCTGAAGCCCATCCAAAAATATTAGGAACAGTGTATTGACATAGAACTGTGAAATTTTAAGCTATGTTTAGCAAAGGATGTGACACCAAGGATATCACTGAGTAAAGATATCTTAATTATAATTACACATTCTTGTTCATCTGACACTTTAATAGTTATATATACTTTCTTTGCTTTTCTTTTTTAAAAAAATCTCAAGAGATTGAGATTGTAATCATGGCACAGGATTCCATGTGTCCACATATTAATATTTCAGTATATTATAAGAATCACTAGATTCTTATGATTTGAATTGAATTCGAAGAAACCTGATAAGTACAAGAACAACTTGGCCTAACCATAATTGATAAATACTATTGAGTACTCTGTCTTGAATATAATTTTTCAGAAACAGATCACAAGATCTGTATCCTAAGGTAAATCTGGGGTTGCTTAAGGTTGAAGTCACTGACTTACACAAGTACTATCCTACATAGCACAGTTCACAAACCAGTTCCTAATCCTTATATTCCTCTGGCTTCCTGATTAGAATATGCCTTAATGTGGACAAGACCCTCAAGGACATGTGAAAGAGCACCCACGTGACACCTAAGAACAGACCACAAAGTGATACTTGAGTCAGATAATAATAACTGTGTATGAAAAAAAAATCTATTCACTCAATGAATTTAACAGTAGACTTAAATACAGCATAGATTGAGAGGGTGGCATGTTATTGAGAAGGTTTTGATTCATTATACATAGAGTTGAAGTGAATCCAACTTGAGGTGCATATCAACAAAAATAGGTCACTCAAAGACATCTAAGAAAAACTACCTCAAGCCAATGAAAACTCAATAAAGTACAATTCTACTCAAACACAAATAAGGTGTCTGGTTTTGGAAATATCCAGAGTGTGTTCACATTTTTAGCCCACATGTGCAATGAATGCTCCTGTGAAAATTTTTAGAGAATAATATAGCAGCTTCTCTAGAGGAGTTCATGTACAGGAAGAGGAAACCACACATGAAACAGAAATGTCATCTTCTCTCCTTCCCTTCACATCTGCTGTGGTTTATTTCCTCAGGAAATGGTCCTGACAGCATTTTCAGCCCAGTTCCTTCATGCCTTCCCTAGAGTGAGGTTTGTGTCTTAAATCCTAATGATTTTCATTCTACTGTGTGTGTCTTGCACAATAATATGTAGCCGTGTCTTTGTCAGTCAAGGAACTCAATTTTAAGTAAACTTCACTCTTGGAATTGTCCTTGGTGATGCTGACTCGAGATGGCAATGTTGGATTGTAGTTAGTACTTCCACCACCCCATACTATACTAAACCATTCCAGTCCTTTTCCTGGAGCTTGACGGACCCACCCTGCACCATAGCTGCTTAAAGAGAATCCAGAGACTTTGCAGGTGACTGATAGAGCCTCAGAGGGCTTCACCAATCCTGGACCTGACTCCTGAAGTTGTATCTGTGACAGGACACCTGGGGATAAGAAGAAACAAGGTGAATCCTGCGATCAGAACCAGGGACCCTAGACCTCGACATCTGTGTCCTGAAGTCACTCACTTCTAGGAGCTGCCACAATAAAGAAAAAGACCCACAGGTACTTCATGTCTGTGTACATGAGGGTCATAATTTTCAGAGAATATTACCCAGTCTGACGAAAATGCCTCAGTTTAAGTAACTGTGTGCTGTGATTCCCTCCGGTTGTCTAAATGTGAATTTGCATATGGGTGATAGTTTTGTATATAATAATGAAAAAAAATATCTAATATAGGTTCCAGTTTCTGGGGCTCCTCTGAGTGGCGATGTTTTGTTCTTACAGAGAAATCTTTTCTCCTTCCTGGTTGCTCTTTCACGTATCCTGAGGTTCTCCTCCAGACTAAAATGTATTCTAATCAGGAGACCAGATGCAGAAAATAATTCAAGAATGCTTTGTGCACTAAATGACATGAATAGATAGAAAAAATTAGAATAGAATAAAATAAAAGATTTTCTAAAACTTTTGAAAGATGCTACCTCTGTTTATTCATGTATATACTACTGGATATTTCAAAGTATTGAGACAGCAGCCAAATGAACCAAACACATTGAATGAAGATACACTTGATTCATTGAATAAAGATACATTTGACTGATTAAAATTATTTGTCATAAACTGGAACAACTTTGAGAGACTAATTTTATTGAATATGTTTTCATCTTAAATGCTGAAAAAGATTACTTAGGATCAAGAATGATACTAAATTAATCATGATGATCATGACTTTTTACTATCAAGAATGTTTTTATTAGGTGTCATCAACTCAGCTGCAGCTTGTAGCCACACTATGTACCACAGATCAGAAACCTACCATACCTTGAACTGTCCTCACCATCTTAATACACTGGAGTCAATTGCCACTGTCACTGTGTCAACCATCTTATTTAAGGTCTTCTTTTATTTTTCTGCTGCTCTATTTTTTTAAAATATGATATCTTTTTTTTTCAAAGGACTAGCCCCTCCAAATAACATGCTTGAACTTTGTGAGACAAAATTTCACCATCCTCTCTCTAAGGTACACGGTGGCCACACTGTATTTGTTTGTTCTTTTGACTGTCCATGTGATACTCAATCCTATTCTTCAGTACTGCAACTTAAAAACATCAATTCTTCTGTCATCTTTCCATGGTCCAAATTTTGTATGTATAGCAAGTACTAAGTATAGCAGTGGATAGTTTAATGTGAACTATATTCCGGCCAAAACATTTTTCTTTTGTTTCTTGTTTGATTTTTTCTTTCTTTAATTTATTCTGCTTTTCTTACAGAGAAAATGTTTTAATCTAGTAAGTAATTGTTCAATGTTTTTTAAAGTTGTCATTACTGCATTAGTTTTATCTCTTCAGTGAAATTGAGTTTCTTTAAGAATTTCTTAGCTTTGTAAATAACTCTAACGAAAGGGAATTTTCAAGGTCCTAAACTTTCAGAACGGAAAACTAAGTATTAATAGAAGTTCTTCTTCAAGTTTTCCAAGACATTTTATCTGTAAATTGATATTTGACATACAAAAATCAGTTGGATTTCTCTACAGCGACAAAAAGAATACAGAGCCAGAACTAAGAGAAACAATACCTTTCACAAAAGCTAATCACAA